TATTCTACAACAATGCACTCGCCGTTCTTATTACCTCCCTGTGTATTTTCACATTGAGGGCGCCATTTTGTTAAAAAAATCTGATAAATAAAAACATTTTTTGTCGAATTTTGATGTGAAAGCTATCTAGAATGAAAGAAAATGGTCTAACTAAGAAATTGAATCCGAACACCAATATCTTTAATGCAGTCGTTAACGCTGTAGATCTACAGACGTGTAAAGTGTTGTTTACGTGACGTCACAATGTAGCGCCAAACAGGACGTGCAAAACAATCAAATCAAGTACGCTATTTTAATAATGTCGCAAAAGAGTTAAGTTTTACATTTATTTCACTTTTAATAATTTGTATTTCGCTTGAAAAATTATAGAGTGAAATAAAATAAACAAACAAAGTTTTACCAACGTTTTCAAAATTCGTTATTCTCAAAATGTTATTACACACGGGAGATTTAACGACAGTTTTTTTTCAACCCTCTGGGACAGCCTTTAAAGAACGTTTCTATGGGAAACAAATTTAACCACCAAACATAAAGTCCAACTTTATAATAATAATTACATTTTTTCTTGACGTGTTAGAATGGAAATCGATATTATTTCTTCGTGCATTATTGTATAATAATGCACGTTTTTCGTTCAAATGCTTTATAATAATCACTCAGGCCTATCGGCCTTCGTGATTATATTACTACGCATTTGAACTCAAACCGTGCATTATTCTACAACGCATTTTAACCACAGAATTATCAAACCATAAGGTTTTGTGTTGTTGGAAAGTTCCAGATGTAGCTGACATTAAGAGTGCTAACAACTCAAACCTTTGATTTGCTGATGATTTTATTGTTGGGGAAATCGGAAAATCATACACATCTTTAGTTTGAAGGCATACAGTATGTTTCTCTTCTCTTTTGTGCCTGATAAAAAATATATGTATAAAGGTACAAAAATCGATTAAATAAAATGTTGTCGTCTTTGTTTACCATAGCTTATTTTTTCTAAACTCAAAGGCAAATGCGCCTATATGACTGAAATACTGTTGGGAAAAGGCGTTAGATGAAACAAACAAATAAACAAACAAATAAAGGCAAATGCATCAAGCGTCTTAGATTTATTAAATTTCAATCATTATTAGAATAAGTTTTTGATAATAGCAAAATTTAGATATATTTTGCAATTCATCACTTAAAAAATTCTTACACTAAATTTGTATTAGGTTTCTTTTGTCATTTTAATGTTAAGAAAGGGCCGCTTTCCGGGCGTTTTCGAATAGATAAACGTTGAATATTGATGAAAAAATTCAGCGTTAAACCAATCGGAAATTTCAGCAGGTCAATTTTCGTGTTTTACATTAATTTCAAGTACCAGCAAATTTTAGAAAAAGATCCATTTTGTATCAGATATTTTTGTGTATTATAAACTGTTAACGTACTTTGCGTTCTTTGAGCTGCGCCGCTGTTGTATGTCTATGGTCATTGAAGGCCTGAGACCAATGGATGACAACAAATCAACAATATTTGTAATAAAATTGTTAAAATATCAAACTTTATGCAAAAATATATTTAAAAAAAGCATGTCAAATGTATATATGATATCAAGCTAGCTTACGGATCATCGGTGGTTCTACTCAAATGCCCGTTCGTGCCTGAAATAATTCACGGAAGGGCACATGATGTCTTCCTCCATCAGTAAAACTGGAACGTCGCCAAATGACCTATACTGTGTCGGTGTGATGTAAAACCCAATCAAACAAACAAACAACAATATAATTCAAGTCGAATAATATATTCAAAAAAGAGTAAAGAAACATAATCTTCTCCTAGTTATTGATCTCACTTTATCTTATCTTTTTGTATGACTGCATTTCAAGTCTAAAATACACGTAAGGCACACTTGATTACACTTCATGATATTTGTTACATAATGTTCAATGTTTGTATGAGACAATTGTGTTGAAAAGTAAATGGAATGTGTAATTGCAACTCCCAATAAAAGGTATTTTCGGAAACCAAGTGGTTTCATTTTCCATAATATCTGCTCAAGCAAAATATTTTCCAGACAATTAAACATGCATGATTAAGTAGACGTTTATGGTTTTCAAAACAACATTATTTTTTCAGGAAAAAGACCAGACTGTCGAGGTTGTTAAATCTTAAAAATTGTATTAATTCGGTCCTACCCTGCTTTATACTTTGATACACCTACCTCTTTTATGTGATAGTCTTTCTTTTAAAACATTGTAATGCTTTTAGATAATAAAACATTAAACGAAAATGTGTTACAGTACTTAAATTGATGAAACATTGCGAATATCGACCTGTTTCCAATGAGTCTGCTAATTAATTAGGTTTAAAGGCGTGTCTTCTGTAAATATAACCGCTTTCTCTTTTCTTTTTGTTAGCCTTTTCATTAATTGTATTCTTAAATATATTTGTCGCGATTTCTATGGAATTTTATATATTACCCGTCCGTGCCTTGACCCTGTGACCTCTTATGTTTTTGTTTGGTGCCCTGCTTGACTCATTGCCAATCGTCCTGTGTTGCTGGATTTAGGATCAGGATTCGTTCATTGAACGCCGTCCTTCATTTTTCATCTCTGTTTTCACATGAATCACTGCGTCTTATTTTATGGCCAGATTACAGTTTATTTGCTTTTGGATACAATTATGTATACATATATTGTATTAATGTTAATTTATAATATCACGTGATCTATTGCGGACAGAAATGTTTTAACTGCTCTGAAAAAAACATAGTTCTAAAGAGTTTTTTTTCCCTTACATTCACTCGGAATACTTATATCAAGTGGTGTTAATGAACAATATACGGATTATATTGTTTTTAAAAAAGTTTGACTAAAAGATACCTAAAAAGTGAGTTTTTGGATGTTTTTTACAAATAAAATTTATTACAAATAAAACCATTCATATTTAACCCGTCCCTTAGCGTTTTTGTGAGCAATTCTCATTGCGGATTGTGGACTGTGGATTAATGGTCAATGTAAGATTTTTTTGTGCGAGATAATGTGAACAATGACTCCAAAGAAAACTTAAAATAACAAAGGTTGTGGCAAAAAGAGAACATTCTCTTCCCCAGATAATACAGTTATATCACCGGAAAAAAGAAGTGACGTCAGAACATCACCGCCTGTTTCCCAGTCTACAACAAGTGTTTTATACGAACATTGACAGCAGCCGTGTATATTATTAGTTATAAAGATGGTTGACAGGTTATATAGCCCTATATAAACGGCTATTTGTAAATATAACCCGAGCCGCTAGGCGAGTGTTATATTGCAAACAGCCGTTTATATACGGCCATATAACCTGTCGACAATCTTTATAACGAATTTATAATACAGCAAGCATATTATTTTTAGAGAAAAGAGTAAGATTTCTTCATAAATCGACAGCAGCCGTGTATATAAAACTATATAAACATCACGATTATCCAATGAAAAGCGACGTTACAAACGTGCAGTATTATAAAAACTTAACTTTATAATACTGCACGTTTGTAACGTCGCTTATTATGTATAATACTGCACGTTTGTAACTTCGCTTTTCATTTGATAATCGTGACGTTTATATAGTTTTATTATAATACTCCACGTTTGAAACGTCGCTTTTCATTGGATAATATTAAACTGGCGGCTCGAATTATATTTCCAAACATACATTTACATAGGGCTATATAACTTGTCAAAATATTTATTGCTAATAATATACACGGCTACAGAAATCTAACGGCTCGGGTTTTTTTTCTCCAGTCATCCGTTTATATAATTATAGTCATATAACATGTCAAACATCTTTAAAACTAAATCACTTGCCCCCCACAACGCTTTGGGTTCGAATCCCGACAGGGACTTAGGAATCTTTCATGTGAAGAAGCTATCCAGCTAGCTTACGGAACGTCGGTGATTCTACTCAGATGCCAGTTCGTACCTGAAATAATACACGGAAGGGCACCCGAGGTTTTCCTCCATCAGTAAAGCTCGAAAGTCGCCAGATGACATACTGTGTCGGTGTGACGTTAAACCCAATCAATCAAATAAACTTTATAACTAATAATATACATGCCAGGTTTAATGCAGTAATAGTTTAATGATCATATATAGCTGTATAAGTATGTATTGTAATTTTATGAAGAAATAATTAATCTTATAAAAACAAACATGTTAATGTTTGAAAGCGATGAAAGGAATGGTCATGTACTAAGTAAAATATGTTACCCCACAGAACTTAATCTATAAATAACTTTAATTACCAATCATTCATCCATCTTAATACTTTTTCTACAAAAGCACAAAAATTAAGTTAACATATTTGGTATTACAAACGAATTCAATCCTTGATATTGCAAAGATTTATAATCATTTTATTATAATTTACAGGACAATCTCTACTACCAGTGGGAGTCCATATGCTATGCAATGCAGTGTAAGAAAAAGGGCGACAACTCTTGCACGGATCAATTATTTCCCTTCGACGGAACACCTTGCGGTGATAAAAAGGTAAAATATCCACACCCAATAATTTTCTTTTTTGATAATTTGGTAATTTTTGTATCAGAAATAAATGTCTTTAGTCTTGTTATATGTAACACGGGGGTGGAACCCCATACGCGTATCTCAAAAATGAGCATCGGTAAAAATTATATGTGAATTTCCGCTGCACCAGATGTGACTGTAAACTGAGGTCAATAGCAGGGTTAGTTTTCATCTTTTGAACCTTTTTTGAAGAAAATCGAAATGTGATTCTACCCTCCTGACTCTCCTCTATATAACCAATTTTTGATTTGGATTTCTATGCAGTCTTCATCGAGATATTCTTTCCGTCGTGGGTTCTGGTGTGTCCAAAACATGCAATGTGAATGTGGACTCAAAAAAACAGAGATTTTACGAAATCTCACTACAGACCGATGCTTAACATTCAGACAAATCCTGATTTAAACATTTATTGAGATTTGGCTACAAACGAACGATTATTCGTTTATTATTACCGATCTATCATCAGTGTTTCTATCTTTAACACAAAAAGTGAAAAATAGATATTACTATTTTTATATATTTGTATATTTTGTTCCACCTCATTGTTGGCATGCACATTTATTATTCAGTGGTGCCAGTCAGGGAATTGTGTTTTGTCAACAGATGCCCCATCATATGACGGTAAGTCAACAGTCTGTTTCTTCATTCTATCTGGCATTGTCTCACAGTGACCACTGATAGAAAATATTGAATTTTTATGTACTTTTAACCAGACTTGTTCAAGAATCTTCTCAACCCACAGATACGTACATGTTTTAAATAAAAAGTATTTTTAAATGAGCACTGCTGGTTAAGGAAACAGCGTTTGTTTCAAGTTAACTTCAACTAACTGACCTACTGTATATTCATATTGAATATGATACCTATAACTTACTCTCTTCATCAGCTTGTTTAATTCACTCATTTAAAAGTAATACAGTCTATTTTGCTTTCTTTTGACTTGATAAATAAAGGGAAGAACTATTCCCTCTAAACATTGATTTAGCGCTCATGTAGCTTGAAAAGGAAAATGTAATCAAATTTGGATATCACATATTATCTTCCATATCTAAAATGTGTACGGTTTTGAACGTTTTTGTTTTGTTTTCCAGATGCATGTCTGTTCGGAGACGACCCGAACGTAGATTGTAATCTACCTGACAGTTGTAATGAAAGCAACATGTATAGCAGCAAAGTGCGATGTTGCCAAACATGTACAACAAAGTTATCTTCGTCGTCATCATCATCGACTTCAACAACATCAGGTACAACAAGAACAGCCTCGACTACCAAGTCCTCAACTTTCTCAACATCGACATCAAGCTCAACGTTGTCTACAAGTTCTACATTTTCCATCACACATTCTCCTACATCCTCTCCCACTTCAAAATCGACAATTATATCGTCTTCTAGGTCTACTCCAAGCACAATCTCTAAAACTTCGTCTACAACATCGACTCCACCTGTTAAATCAACGTCTACTTTATCACCATCAGTCTCCACGACACAGCCAACTTCAATTTCAACAGAAATAATTTAAAAATATCATCAGATAATAACGGACTAATTGTCAGTGTAACATCACGTTATGCCGCGTTATACAGACAGTGTCAGGGTACTGGAAATTGTCGAACGCTTTCGGGGCAAAAGTCAAAAAAAAAGAAAGTATAAAAACATCGCAGTGTTTTTTTTTTATCTTCTATCATCATGCTTGTCCTTTTCTGAGCATCGGGTTTAGAGTAGGTTAGTCTCTACCATAGTCCAACATAAGGCGAAGTCTTTAGATGAAGGATTGATGAGTCTTAACCCATGTAAGCAATGACAGTATTATATTACCATCTTCACTTAATTCATCTACATACCATATGAGTAAATCCTGACAAAAATAGTTCCTAGAGCTAATCAAAGTGCTGCAAGCACTAAGATAGTCTTTGCATTGAAATATCCGTTTTAATATAACAATAATATAGCATAATTATAGTAAAGACACAAAAAAAACTTATATATATTTATGCATTATCCCATGTCTGGCAGTCAGTTTATCAATGTATGTTCCCCAGCTTGCCACTCAGTATATCAATGTATGACGCTATTGTGTGCCATTCAGTATACCAATGTATCTCGCTTTTGTCTGCCAGACAGTATATCAATGCATGACGCTATTGTCTGCCAGTCAGTATTTCAATGACACTATTGTGTGCCAGATAGTATATCAATGCATGACGCTATTGTCTGCTGCTCAGTATATAAATGTGTGACGCTATTGTGTGCCACTCAGTATACAAAAGTGTGACGCTATTATCTGCCAGTCAGTATGTCAATGTATGACGCTGTTGTGTGCCAGTCAGTATATGAATGTATGACGCTATTGTTTGTCAGTCAGTATATAAATGTATGACGTTATTGTGTGCTAGTCGGAATATAAAGTGTTTACGCTATTTGGGTGCCAGTCAGTTTTAATTTTTATGCGCTAGTGGGCTGCCCCGACAGTAAAAATTTAATGTAAAGACGCTTTGTGTCCCGCAAGTGGGGTATATCATATAAAGACGCTTAGGGGGTCTGCAAGGGCAGTATATTTTAAATATTGACGCTAGTGTTTTGCAAATCGGTATATCAATGTAGGGCACTAGTTTTCTGCAAAATCCCTTTTTCAATGTATTTACGCTAAAATTTTCTGCAAGTCAGTTACAAATTTTATGACGCTAGTGTTTTGCCCGGCCCTTTATATTTAAAGTAGGCTATTGTCTGCTGGGCAGTAAAATCAATTTTTGACGTTTTTGTCCCCTGGGCAGTTTTATCAATGTATGCGCTATTGTCGCCAGACTGTATTTTGAAAAGTATGACGCTAAAATTTTCTGCCAGAAAAGAATTGAAAGTATGACGCTATTTTTCTGCCAGTCAGTAAGCAATGTATGACGCAAGTGTCTGCCAGACAGTATATGAATGTATGACGCTATTGTCTGCCAAGTCAGTATATCAATGTATGACGCTAGTGTCTGCCAGACAGGATATAAATGTATGACGCTAGTGTTTGCAAGTCAGTATATCAATATATGACGCTATTGTCTGCCAGACAGTATATCAATATATGACGCTATTGTCTGCCAGACAGTTTATGAATGTATGACGCTATTTTCTGCCAGTCAGTATATAAATATATGACGCTATTGTCTGCCAGACAGTATATGAATGTATGACGCTATTGTCTGCCAGTCAGTATAGCAATGTATGACGCTATTGTCTGCCAGACAGTATATCAATGTATGACGCTAGTGTCTGCCAGTCAGTATATCAATGTATGACGCTATTGTCTGCAAGTCAGTATATGAATGTATGACGCTAGTTTCTGCCAGACAGTATATGATGTATGACGCTATTGTCTGCAAGTCAGTATAGCAATGTATGACGCTAGTGTCTGCCAGACAGTATATGATGTATGACGCTATTGTCTGCAAGTCAGTATAGCAATGTATGACGCTATTGTCTGCCATGTATGACGCCTATTGTCTGCCAGACAGTATATGATGTATGACGCTATTGTCTGCCAGTCAGTATGATCAATGTATGACGCTAGTGTCTGCCAGTCAGTATAGCAATGTATGACGCTATTGTCTGCCAGACAGTATATGAATGTATTGACGCTATTGTCTGCCAGACAGTATATGATGTATGACGCTAGTGTCTGCCAGACAGTATATGAATGTATGACGCCTATTGTCTGCCAGACAGTATATGATGTATGACGCTATTGTCTGCCAGTCAGTATAGCAATGTATGACGCTATTGTCTGCCAGACAGAATATGAATGTATGACGCTTTTGTCTCCCAGACAGTATATATGATGTATGACGCTAGTGTCTGCCAGACAGTATATGATGTATGACGCTATTGTCTGCCAGACAGTATAGCAATGTATGACGCTAGTGTCTGCCAGACAGTATATGAATGTATGACGCTATTGTCTGCCAGACAGTATATGAATGTATGACGCTATTGTCTGCCAGACAGTATATGAATGTATGACGCTAGTGTCTGCCAGACAGTATATGATGTATGACGCTAGTGTCTGCCAGACAGTATATGAATGTATGACGCTATTTTCTGCCAGTCAGTATATAAATGTATGACGCTAGTGTCTGCCAGACAGTATATGATGTATGACGCTATTGTCTGCCAGACAGTATATGATGTATGACGCCTTTTGTCTGCCAGACAGTATATGATGTATGACGCTATTGTCTGCCAGTCAGTATAGCAATGTATGACGCTATTGTCTGCCAGACAGTATATGAATGTATGACGCTATTGTCTGCCAGACAGTATATGAATGTATGACGCTATTGTCTGCCAGACAGTATATGATGTATGACGCTATTGTCTGCAAGTCAGTATAGCAATGTATGACGCTATTGTCTGCCAGACAGTATATGAATGTATGACGCTATTGTCTGCCAGTCAGTATAGCAATGTATGACGCTATTGTCTGCCAGACAGTATATGAATGTATGACGCTATTGTCTGCCAGACAGTATATGAATGTATGACGCTAGTGTCTGCCAGTATACAAGTATATATCAGACAGTAAATGATGTATGACGCTATTGTCTGCCAGACAGTATAGCAATGTATGACGCTATTGTCTGCCAGACAGTATATGAAATGTATGACGCTAGTGTCTGCCAGACAGTATATGAATGTATGACGCTATTGTCTGCCAGACAGTATATGCAATGTATGACGCTAGTGTCTGCCAGACAGTATAGCAATGTATGACGCTATTGTCTGCCAGACAGTATATATGAATGTATGACGCTATTGTCTGCCAGACAGTATATGAATGTATGACGCTAGTGTCTGCCAGACAGTATATGAATGTATGACGCTATTGTCTGCCAGACAAGTATATGCAATGTATGATGACGCTAGTGTCTGCCAGACAGTATATGAATGTATGACGCTATTGTCTGCAGACAGTGATGTATGATATGTATACAATGTATGACGCTATTGTCTGCCAGACAGTATATGAATGTATGACGCTATTGTCTGCCAGAAGTGAAGTGGTATGACGCTAGTGTCTGCCAGACAGTATATTGAATGTATGACGCTTGGTGTCTGCCAGACAGTATATGAATGTATGACGCTAGTGTCTGCCAGTCAGTATATCAATGTATGACGCTAGTGTCTGCAGAGTCAGTATATGAATGTATGACGCTATGTCTGCCAGAGTCAGTATATGATAGTATGACGCTAGTGTCTGCCAGTCAGTATATGAATGTATGACGCTATTGTCTGCCAGTCGAAGTATATGATGTATGGACGTCTTATTGACTCTGCCAAAACAGTTTAAGAAAAAGGGATTGACCTATTGTTCCCGCCAAATCAGTTTTAATTGCAATTTTAAAGACGCTTTGTGTCTGCCAGACAAATTTTAAACAATTTTTATGACCTAGTGTCTGCCAGATGTATATATGGGGAAGTGCCCCTAGTGTCTGCCCAGACAGTTATATTGATTTTATGACGCTAGTGTCTTTTCCGACTGTTAAAAAGATGATGACGCTAGTGTCTTTTCAGCCCGTAAATAAATTTTTATGAAAGCCATTGTCTGCCCCAACAGTGTATAATGGATGTATGCGCTATAGTGGGTCTGCCAGACATAGTTTTGAGTAATATTGGTGATGTAAATGAAAGCTATTGTTCTGCTAGTTCAGGTATAGCAATGTATGGACGCTGGTCTGCCAGACAGTATATATGAATGTATGGGAAACGCCTATTTGTCTGCGCCAGGACAGTATAAGAATGTATTGACGCCCTAATTGTCTGCCAGACAGTATATGAAGTATGACGCATTTTTGTCCAGTAGGTAAATCAATGTATGACGCTAGTTCTGCCAGTGACAGTATAATGAAAGTATGACGCTATTGTCTGCCAACATAAATATTGTATGGTATTGGACGCTATTGTTGCCCAAAGACCAGTATATAAATTATTGACGCTTTTGTTCTGCCAGCATATAATAATGTTGACGCTAGTGTTCTGCCAGACAGTTATATTAAATGTATGGCGCCTAGTGTTCTGCCCAGACATTAATATTGGGAATGTATGACGTAGTTTTGGCGGCGGCCAGTTTATATAGCAATGTTATGACGCTATTTGTCTGCCAGACGTAATTTGATGTGTATGACGGCTATTGTCTGCCAGCAGTTTGTATATTAAGCAATGTTAATGACCGCTATTGGGGTTTTGCAAGACATTATTATTATTGATGTTGAAGCTAATTTTGTCTTGCCAAGAACAGTATAATGAATGTATGCGCTAGTTGTCTGCAAAGTCCAGTATTATATCAATAAAAAGACGCTCGTCTGCAAAGTTCATATTATGAAATGTTATTAACGCTAGTGTCCTGCAAGTTCATAATACAATGGTATGACGCTATTGGTCTGCAGGATACAGTGTATATAAAGAATATGACGCTTATTGTCTTGCTGGTCAGTATTGAAAGTTGGGACGCTTATTGTCTGCTAAGTCAGGTTAGTATCAAAGTATAGCTCTTGT